GAGGTGACCTGCGCCAAACCCCGCAGCAGCCGCAACTCCAGCATCGGTCAGACCCCCCACGGGGGATTTTTGGGGACCCTCCAGGGCTTTTTGGGGTCCCCCTGGGGCTTTTTGGGGTCCCCCTGGGTTTGGGGAACCCATCTGGGTTTGGGGACCTCCTGGGTTTGGGGGACCCGTCTGGGTTTGGGGGACCCCTGGGGCTTTTTGGGACCTGTCGGGACTGTTTGGGGACAAGATAAAGATATTAAACATGGATAAAGATATTAAAAATTGATAAAGATACTAAAATTGATAAAGATATTAAGCCCAAAGATATTAAACATAAAGGTGTTAAAGATAAATAAAGGTATTAAAAATTGATAAAGATATTGAACATCTATAGAGATATTAAACATGGATAAAAACATTAAACATGGATAAAGACGTGAAACATCGATAAAGATGTTAAACATGGATAAAGATTTTAATCATGTATAAAGGTATTAAAAATGGATAAAGATATTAAACATCGATAAAGATATTAAACACAGGTAAAGATATTAAACATGAATAAAGATATTGAACATCGATAAAGATGTTAAACATGGGTAAAGATATTAAAAATCGATAGAGATATTAAAAATTGATAAAGATATTAAAAATTGGTGAAGATATTAAAAATTGATAAAGATATTAAACATGCGTAAAGGTATTAAATGTGAATAAATGTATTAAAAATCGATACAGATATTAGACAAGGATAGCGATATTAAACAGGCCTGTTTGTATCTGTATATTAATTAATCTCTTTAATCTGTCTGTTAATTAACTCCTTAATTGCTCCTCCCTTGCAGAGGCGTTCGTGGTGTGCCGGGGGTACGACCCCCCCGAGGGCTTCGTGCCCACCATGGACAACCCCCTGCTCGACCCCGACGCGGGTAAGGGGGGATTTTTGGGGGGGCCTTGAGGTTTTTTGGGGGGCGTTGGGGGGTCCTTAAGGCTTTGGGGGGGTCCTTGGGGGTCGGTTTGGGGGTCCTTGAGGTTTTTTGGGGTCCCTGGGGGGGGGTTTGGGGGTCCTTGGGGATTGGGGGGGGTTCTTGGTGGTCAGTTTGGGGGTTCTTGAGGTTTTTGGGGGTCCCTGGGGTGGGTTTGGGGGTCCTTGAGGTTTGGGAGGGGGGGCATGGGGGCCTTGAGGGATTCTTGAGGGTTTGGGGAGTCCCTGGGGGTGGGTTTGGGGGGTGCTTAAGGCTTTGGAGGGGTCCTTGGTGGTCAGTTTGGGGGTTCTTGAGGTTTTTTGGGGTCCCTGGGGTGGGTTTGGGGGTCCTTGTGGCTTTGGGGAGTCCCTGGGGGGGCGTTGGGAGGTCCTTGAGGTTTTTGGTGGTCCCTGGGGTGGGTTTGGGTGTCCTTGAGGTTTTGGGGGGGGGCCCATGGGGGGACTTGAGGGAATCTTGAGGTTTTTTGGGGTCCCTGGGGGTGGG